CATTTGCATTTCATTTGCTGTTCATTTCAGCCTCATTTCCACAACATTTGCAGCTTTAGCTTGCTGCACTTTGCTGCTACCGTGCTATTGGTGCAGCTCTCCCTTCATTTTGCTGCCATTTTGTGCAGCCTTTCATTTTCATTTGCTGCTACTTTTGCAGCTTGAACACCACAACTCCAACACCCTGCTTCAAATTGATTTTCCTTGAGATATAGGTATCCAAAGAAGTTATGTGACCAAAAGTTTGTGGAATTGGACCTTGAACACATTTCTACCGAACATGAGTAGGACTAAGCTATTGCTTAAGTTGAAATTGAACAGCCACTGGAATGTGCACACAGTCAAATTATTACTATTTAGGTCAAGGACAGCAAGGGATGTCAAATTATTAACTCTGGCGCAAAGGACTGCGGAACAACATCTAGAAGATTACAAAAGTCTAGCTGCAGGTTGGTTAGATGAGGGATCTTGTTAACCACCTGCAGCCAATTATTAACCTTACTAAGGCCATTTGTACTCATATCAAGGTATTTCAAAGAAAAAAGATGGGAAAGTCACTCAAGATTTTTGATACTGTCGAAGTAATTATGTCTAAGATCAAGGAGTTGCAAACTTGTCAGGTTCCCTAACTGACTGAGAAGATGTCCACCTAAACCAGAACCACAAGAAGAGGGATCAAGATATTTTTTAGTTGGGTAGAGTGAATTGATAAGAGAATATAATGTAAAGCCAATTCAACAAAGGTACAAATAAGTTAAAACTCTGCAACTCAAACAGGAAAGGACATAGCTTACCTCTTAAGGAGCAATCCTGAAGAATAACCTCAATTACACGCCCAGTTGCTTTGCTACACTGAACTCCTCTCTATTTGCAACAATCCCTTTTCTCTTCTTCACTTCTCCAGGAGGAAAGCACACCATAGTCATCAACCAAACCTTGCTTAAATGCAAGAAGTACTTGTCTTTCCCTCTCTATGCACCTAACTTCATGACCTCCAGCTGTGAAATTGAGTCCAACAGAACTTCTAATCTGCAGTAAAATCACAATTAAAAAGACAAGCAGAGAGGTCCCTCCACCCAAAACCATCATTTTTTGAGTGAAAATAACAAAATCAAGATCAAGCAGAACAAAAATGAAGACTGTCAAAGAAAAATTGTGGAAACTTAACCATTTGGTTCTGCTGTCTGAGTTTTGGAACCCTTCTACTTATATGAACAGATACAACGGAACGCAATGAACAGATGTCAAAAGGGAATATAAAAAATTAGAAGTGAACCATAAATTAGACCAGAACTGGCCATCAATTAGACCTTGTTTAAAGTTGAGGAGTGCTTTGTCTTTCACTCTCTATAACAGTCTTTTTCTACTTAATTTATCATCTTTTCCATTTGCTAGCATCGCTTTCATGTCAAATGGAGCAGTGCAAGCATTGTAAGGAACGTTGAGGGAAGTGGACAAATAAGAGAATATAATGTAAATGCATCAACTAAGTGAGGGAATTCATACAAGTGTGCAGAGTTTATTTCAGTACAACTAGTTTAAAATCAGTTTTTCCCTAAAGTATCCTGATTATCTGGGAAGAAAAAGTGAGTTAAATTTAAGGAGGTTTTTTAAGTAATCTAAATGTTTGATTCAAATTCCATCAAAACATACATACGGTGAGACTAAACATGTTACGCAATTGTTAAGGATAAAAATCTCATCAAGAGGAAGTGTAATTATTTGGAGTTTTTATTTAAGAAAATAACAATAGTGAGACTAAATGTTGTCCAAAACAATGTCATGTGTGAAGAATAATTTATATGATCTTTTCTTGACATTGATCCTGTGATAATTAGAAAGGACCCTCTAAACCCAAAGCCATTATTTTTGAAAGTGATATGAACAAAATGAAGATCAAACCGAACCAAAGTGAAATTTGTGTCAAGGAAATTTAATATTTTGTGAAACAAAAAGGAGAAAACCTTTAGTGTAGGGAGAAGATTAAAGAAAGATACCAGTTTGACGAATTTTAACAAAAAGTCAGGCTGGAGCAGCATAATTCAACACTGAGCCTCTGAAACACAATCAAGTTAAAGAAAGGGAAGACCATTGACTTGTTTTCTTATTAACCAACTTTGGAAATCTTGTTTTCTGGAAGTACCTATTAAAGTTATTGAGAATGCAACAAAGAAAAGAAGACTGACCTTTGATTGCAATTATAAGCAAGAGCTCCTTAAAAAAAAAAAGACCATTAGCTTGATTTCTATCTAATTTATCTCATTTTTATAATTTGATTAAAGTATACCATTCTATCAACTAGAACATGTCGATAAGAGTAAGGGCATCAAACTTGCAGAATTCAGATTTCAGTCTTATTTCTGTTGCAGCTAGCTTGTTCTTCATTCTTACAAACTAGATGGTGGAATAAAAACAAGCAAAACACAAAATGATACAATAAAACACACATAAAGCATAATTTAGCACACCAAAAAGGGAAAAAAGGTGGTCTTGAGGACTGTGGTAGCCAAGAAAGCCTGGAATTTTACTCTTTTTTTTCCTGAGATAACAAAACTTACCTTGGAATTTCACTTCACAAGAAAACATCAAGTCCTTGAATTCTGAAGAAGCACCTGAAAAACAAAGCAGAGGTGACCTGTTACTTTCAATGAAGTACGTAGTTCACTTGAACAAGATGACAAAATTATAAAAAAACTTAAACCATAACCTCTTGCTTGGGCTCCAGGGTACCAAGTTGAATGTTCTTGCAATCTGGTAGCAATAACTGTTACCACCAAACCAAGTACTGCCTTTAAGTTACTGAGGCAGATCTTCATGTAGTCAAAGTCAAGCAAGAAGAAGCAAGCATGTTTCCATGCATGGTCCACGTTTAAAACCATAACTCTCAGAAAGCCAAAAGCCATCATTCCAGTTCCATACTGGGTTTAAATTCTTTCCAAAATTCATCTTCATTGTCTTGATTGTACTGGAACCACCATCTGTAGGTCTTTCATCACTGGAGCATGTTGGTGTTAGAGGAGGCCACAGAGTGCAGAATTACCCAAAAGAAATAAATAATAAATAATAAAAAATAAAAAATAAATAAAAAAGCAGAAGCAGTAAAGCTCTCCAATTAGGTGCTTGATGGAATTTTCCCAAAAGAGTTACTATATTACAGCTCTAAGACATAGAGGAAATGTAGCTTGGACTTGGTTGAAGGAAGCCCATCTGAATAAAAGAGGCCACAAATCTGAGGTTGAATCTCTGAATCCTTCTCTATGGCGTTTTATGAAGAAACATCTAAATTGTTACAACTGCAACATACAACATTAGATTGTGAAAATTTTAGTTAAAATTTTACAAATATTAAATTGTGAATTCATTTGAGAAAAGGAAAAATGACTGTTAAAATGAAAATTGAATTTAAGCCAATAGAATTCAGATGGAAATCCAATCTCAGTTTCATAGCAAGAAGCTGCAGTTAGCTCCTTAAAATAGAAGATGCAAACCAGACAGACAAACATACATTGGTTTATTACACACAGAAAGAAAGAAAGAGATAACCTTCTACTCAGGTTTGATTTGTTATTTATTATTACTGACACCAGCAAGACAAAATGGAGAAGTTGAGTCCTTGAAGTGTGAAGAAACAGATTGAAAATGAAGTAATGCACTTGAACAAGAAGATAGCATAAATGAACATAACCATACCCACTTTTCCAGGCTCAGGGAAAAGGAATGACTTTGGCTCTTAAGACTTCAACTTTCTTTGCAATCTGGCAGCATTCATCACACCAGCAAACAAAGTGGATGATCCAATTTTTAAGAAAGAATTCCCAGAGAGCCAAAGGCCATTACAAGTTCCATACTGTGTTAAACCCTTTCCAGAATTAATCTAGGTCATCATGATTTTTTTTGCCACCACCATCTGTGTGTTTTTCATCTCCCTGACTTCTTGGTTTTGGAGGGCACTTGCAGAGAGCAGAATTAGCATCAAATGCAGAAGCATCAAAGATATATAAAGATAAAAAGGGGAAATGAAACTACTGTTAAAGCAATGGTGTATGCCTTGCCCACACTCTGAAGAATAGAAGTTAGACAGAATTAAATGTATCAACATTCTCAATTTTCATGAATGAATCACGTCGTTAGGTTAGAGCAAATATCAAATTAGTATTAGAAGACTAATGCATCCATTTATACATGTTGTTTGCAGGAAGCATTGATTTGATGCGAAGTTGCCAAAACCCATCAAAAATGCTCTAGGAAAACACTTAAACTTTGGTTATAAACACCAACCCCTTTGATCAAAAACCAAACGGAAAAAATATATATGGAATTGCACAAACAAAATCAAAACCCATTTTATAGTAATGTAACTAGCACTTGTTAATGGCATGACTGCTACACAGCACCAAAAATGGTTGGCATGTGCAAAAGAAATGGAAGACAAAAAAACGCATGACAGCTACTGGATTATCCCCTTTAGTGATTACATTCTCTAAAGATTAAAGGAACAAGTAAATAATTCAATATTGTTAACAGGAGCAGCACATACCCACTACACAGATAAAACAAGAGCTTACCTTTGATGCGAACCCAGCAGCCATTTTAACTCAAAAACCTGAAGATGAGTTGAAAAGCCATGAGTTTATTGAAATTATTAACAGAAAAAGGAACCAACCATCTATTTAATTTAGTGATGTGCAATCGGAATTTTTGGGAAGAAGAAATGGGAAGTGAGAACCAGAAATTACTGGTTGATTGCCAGAAATTTTGTGAAGAAACACGAAAAGGCTCATTTGGGCAGAGGAATAGAGGAGTGGTTGATTGCCTGGATGTTTTTAATCCTATCCTACATCTCTTTACCATTTGATTAATTAAAGATAATATTTTAAAATTAACATAAAAACTATAAATTAGGATTTACATACGCTGACTTTCTGAGTTTCTGTTTCTCTCCAGATTACAGACTTTGTTAAATTACAGAATACAAATCCATATTGCATATCAGTTACAAGCAAATTATTACAAAACAGATGATAGAAAAAAAAAAAAAAAAAAGCATAAACCATTTAATTTAAGGAGACCTTTCAACCAGACACACTTGTAAGGAAGAAACAATGCCCTGCTCAGCTTGGACTTATTGGTGTGGAAAGAGGAGAAAACATCCTGGAAGTTCACATTGCAACATAAAACATCTTGAACCTGAAAAACAACAAATAAGAGGTTATTGGCTCTGTTTTTCTTTTTCTTTTTATAATCAAGTTATGAAGATGCCATACAAATGTGTATCGACCTTTACCAGCTTCTAGGAAGAGACTGATGGCTCGAACAACTTCAACTTTCTTCCCAATCTGGATACATGGTCTCTCACCAGCAAACCAACTGCTGCTAAAAGTAAATAAAGGCAGTCCTTCAAGTTTCTGAGGCGGACCTTCATGTTGTTGAACAATAGGAAACAGAGATGTTTCCATGGATGATCTAACTTCACAACCAGAACTCCCACAAAGCCGATGGCCACTCCAAGTTCCATACCCAGTTTAAAACATTGCCAGAATTCAGCCATGTCTCTGTTTTTTGGTTTGCCCTCTGATTTTTCATCATCTGGGCAAGTTGGTGTTAGAGGAAGCCCACAGAGTGCAGGATTACCGACAAATGAAGAAGCATCAAACGACTGCATCTGGGTTGATAATGGGATTCTCCCTGAAAAGAAGTTGTAGGACAGATTCAAAGTGCTGAGGAAATTTAATTGGGAGATGCTCCAAGGAAGATGACCTGAAAGCTGGTTCAATGACAGATCGAGTGATTCTAACTGTCTCATCTGCCCCATATCTGAAGGAATCCTTCCTGTCAACTGATTTCTTGATAAGTTCAATTCAACCAGTTGGAAGAGAACTGATATATGGACTGGAATCACTCCTGTTAATTTGTTGCTTGAAAGATCAATAATCTTCAAAGTCTTGAGATTTCCATTCTCATAATCACGCTCCATTCCTTTCCACATTACAGATGCTTTGTCAACGTAGCTTACTTCGTGCATGAAATTTGCAGACGTTTCTATAAAATAATGATCATGGGATGGACTCTCCTGTTGAGCTAATGTAGTCAAATTATGGATGCATGATGGTATGTTTCCAGATAGGTTGTTGTTGGAGAGGTCTAGCAGCGTAAGATTTGTCAACCAACATAGCTGCAAGGGGATGCCTCCACTGAAATTATTGGATCTCAAATGAAGGAAAATTAGTGAACTTAGCCTTTCTCCAATCCAAGTTGGTATTTTTCCAGAGAATCTATTATAATTCAAGTCCAAAAATTGCAAGGCACTGCAATTTCCTAGAGACCGAGGTATTTCTCCAGAGAAACTGTTGTTTTGCAAACCCAACGATTCAAGACGATACAACGATCCAATAGAGCTTGGAATTTTCCCAAATAAATGATTATTAGCCAAATTCAGAATCACTAGACTTGGCCACTGCATCATGCAATCAGAAAGCTTTCCAAATAGTTGATTATGCGAAACATCAAGGAAATGAAGTTTCCCACCACTTATAGTACAGAGAGAAGAAATTGACCCATTGAACCTATTTTTTGATAGGCTTATGGATGTGACATTAACAGGGAATACTGGTAATGGACCCTCCAAGTTATTTTTACTCAAATCAATCGCAAGGCCAAATGGATTAGACATTTGTGTTGACAAATCTGGCAGAATTCCATAGATATGGTTGGAAGAAAGATTCACATAAAATGCTCTAGAAGATAGATTCCAAAACCAGTTTGGGATGCTATCTGAAATCTCACTTTCAGAGATGTCAAGAGAAAAAAAATTTCTCTGCGACTTTAACCAGCTTGGAAATTTTGGGCCCAACTTGCACAACCTAAGAAATATCAAATCCAATTGGAATGGAGGAATCCAGTCATTGCTAAAGTTGATGCTCAAAGAATTAGAAGACATAACAAGCTCCCGTAACTTAGATAGTGTTGAAAAGTGTGATTCACTGATAGTCCCATTCAAAGAATTGGAAGAAATAAATATGAACTCAAGGTTTGATAGGAGTCCAATACTTTTGGGCACAGTACCGCTTAGTTGAGTGTTGAAAAGATGCAACACTCGCAATGAGTGGAAGTTTTTTATCATATCAGGCAAGGGCCCCCTAATTTTATTGTCACCCAAATACAATACCTCCAAGGAGAGTTGTAGACATCCAGATAAGTTACCAATGAGTTCAAGAAGCATTCCATCAAGATGGTTATCATATAGGTATAGGTACCTTAATTTGCAAAGGTTCCCAAAGGATTTTGGAATCCCCCCTTCCAATTGATTATTCGAGAAAAATAGCCTTTCTAGGAGAGTCATACGATTAAAAGTTTCTGGAATTGGACCTCGAAATTGATTAGAACTCAAGTCGAGACTAACAAGGCTGTTGCTAAAGTTGAACAACCATTGGAATGTGGAAGCAGTCAAATTGTTGCTT